TCACAATAAGCCAATTTCATTATTTTCAACTCAATTTCATATTTCCATAACTTTACCCAAATTAATTATATAAATTAATTTATAACAAAATTAGGGCTTTCCTCCCTCTTTACTCAACATTGACCCAAGGTCCAAATATTAACAACGAACATCATTAATCTCATTTTAAGACCCAAAATACACATTTATGGGTTAAAATAACAAAACCCCTCTTTCTCAATATTCCAAATCTTAAACCCTAACATCCAAATCGAACCATTTATACAAAATGCTCAAAATCTATGTCAAAACTCATAAAAATGAGTAGTTATCCCTACCTCAAATTCGGAGCTCAATGGAGGAGATGAAGAATTTCGAAGTTGCTCCAAATCCCAAGATTTTCATATCAAGATGTAGCTCTCACTAAGCTCAACACTTTTTACAAAGGCCCAAAGGTAGGAGATCACTCAAACTAGATCAAACCCTAGAGAGAAGTAGAAGTTTTAGAGAGAGGTGCTCTCCAATGGAGGTTTTGAAAGTTAGAGAGAGAGAAGAGGTTGAAAAGTGATCCAAAAAGTGATTTCACGGATTGATATAAAAATAGGTCCGCTCGAGCGTGGGATTACCCGCTCGAGCGTCAGACACAGACTCACGCTCGAATGTCAAAACCCCCGCTCGAGCGTCGATTGCACACTTCCAGAAGTTTTGCAGACCATAGTCCCCGCTCGAGCGTTAGAATCCTCGCTCGAGCGGAGGAACAAAATCAAAAGGGCCCGCTCGAGCGTCAAAACTCCCGCTCGAGCGTCGATTAATCTGCAGAGCAAAAATGCTGAGAGATGAAAAACCACGCTTGAGCGTCAAAATGCCCGCTCGAGCGCAGAAGCAAAAACGAAGGGCCCGCTTGAGCGTCAAAAGCCCCGCTCGAGCTTGAAGACCAAAATCTGGGCATCAACTCTACGTTTCTAAACACAACCAACCTGTTTCAAACCTGCCCAATGTAACCCAAGACTCAAATACAAAGTATTAAAGGACGAAAACAAGATATATACAACAACCAACATCCACGGAACCAAGTGCGGATCACACTAATCAATGGAGGGAAAACCAGGGTCGCTATAGGATTAGGATGAAACAGATCGGATTATAGATTTTACGCATTTCTTACCTCAGCCCTAGTATTATTTGACCTTCCTAAAGTTATCATAGTGGTGGTGATGACAGTGACAATGATGACAGTTGCAACAAATATTAGTGATGATTGTAGCGATTATAAGGTTATAAAAGTATGTTGATATTTGTGTATAAAAATTTATAAATTCAATTAGTATTAAATAATTATGTAATTTTATGTGAGAAATTCATCATAATTTAAATGACTTTTATCGTACAAACTCAATTATAATTGGATTCAAATGGATTGAAGAAAGGGTACTGCCTCTTATATGAACACCACCAAATTATGAAAATGACTTTTAAATAATGTATACATTGCAAAAAATATAAAAACCATAAAAACCATGTTTAGTCACCAAATAATCATCAATGATTTTTTTGATGACTAAATTTTTTGTAGGTAAAAACTTCAAATATTTTGGGCTACTAAATATTTAATCACCATATAAAATTTATTTTTCATTTTATTTTTTTTGGGCTACTAACTATTTAGTCACCAAAAATATTTTATTTCTTTTGGCTACCAAATATTTAGTTGTGAAAGAACCTTGATTTCTTTTTGGCTATCAATTGGTTAGTTGCCAACAACTTCACTTCTTTTTGGCTACTACATGTTTAGTCCCCAAAAACTTTATTTAGTGTTTTTTTTATTAATTTCGTCACGACCTGTATTTATTCTATGCAACCTGCATCCTGTATATAAACAAAATAATAACAATCCAACAAAATTCAACTTTTAACATCAAATTTGAAATATAATAGAAATTCCATACAAACCAAGCATAATCCAACTTTAAATAATAATTCTATACAAAATCGAGGATTATACAAAAACCATGTCTTCTGTACACAAGAAAGAAATATCCACAATACCACGTCAAATGGTAATCTATACGACGCCAAAAGTAATATGTAATATGCCAAAAGTAATTTGTACCACGCCAATAGTTATCGTACAAACAATAGTAATCCACAAAAAAACAAAGGACAACATAATAACGGATTATATAAGAACAACGTCCTCCGCACACAAGTAAGGAATATCCACACTTCCATGCCAAAAGCCATTTGTAAAAATAAATTAACCATTAGTATTGATTGAATAACATTATCATTTCAAATTATAAAAGAAAATTAATTAAAACTCAAATGTATATAATCTTTTCAAAATTGTATAATTATAGTCGTAATCATATGTTGCATGTCCGAACAAGTTTCTCCTAAGTTTCTCTCTCCCGAAATGCAATTTTTCAATTAAGTTGAAGGCATTTTCAGGTCTAATTCCCAACCTATGTGTCTTACTCACAGTCCATATGTCCCCATATGTTCTATTAGGCATGAGGAAGCTACCCTCGCAATCCCTAGAGTGGTTCAAGATTGCTTTGCATTTTCAGGCCCCCAATGCACTTTTTTGACTAAGTTGAAGGTGTTTTTTACTCTAACTCTCAACATACATGTCCTAATTACATCCCATATGTCCCAATAGGTCGTACTTGTCACAAGCAAGTTGCCGGTGACATCCCCAGAGTGATTTAGGCACTGTTTCATATTTTTGACCCCTCAACGACCTTTTTTCAACTAAGTTTAAGGCGTTTTCAACTGTAACTCCCAACCTACGTGTCCTAATTACATGTCGTCTATCCCATAGGTCGTATTTATCACAAGCAAGCTTCCTGTGACATCCTCATAATGGTTCGTAGGCTGTTTCACATTTTTGCCCACCAAACGCCATTTTCAACAAAGTTTTAGGCATTTTTTACTCTAACTTCCAACCTACGTGTCCTAATTGCATGTCTTTTTTCCCCACATGTCGTATTTGTCACCGAGCAATCTTCTCGTGACATCCCCAAAAGTGGTTTACGGGCTGTTTCACATTTTCACCCCCGCACGTCCTTTTTTGACAAAGTTTAAGGTGTATTTTACTCTAACTTTCAACTTACAAGTCCTAATTACATGCCGTCAATCTCTATAGGCGTATTTTATTGTATAAGCCAACTTTAACGAAGTAAAAATATGAAATTGAATATTCTAGACCCTCCCAAAATAAAAAATTTTGCTCTACATTACATTGTTTACTAATTAGCTAATTGCTAACTAATTTGAAATTTCCAATAAAGTAAGGCAGCACTTTGCCTTGAATTGCCTATAGAAAAACTGAAAATTGTTTTGTTGACACACCTCATGATTGGTTTAAACACTAGAACGTTATTCTAAACAAATATTTCAAATTCAAGTACTTCCTCCATATTCATATCAGGTACTGAACAATTATCCTAAAGTAGGACTTCAAAATCAAGCTAAAAAATAAAAAATAAAAATCATGCAGTTTCACGACAGTCCTTTAAAGCATTCAATAAATATTTTAATAGAATGTGCAAAGTTTAGAAATAGAATCGCGTTCAAACAATTGAGCCCAATTCATTTTCTCTCCCTGTTTTATGTTCTTTAATGAACACTATGATGGTCTGGCACTATATGAAGCATGGGGCTTTTTCTGTTCGTTCGGCCAATTACTTACGCCGAGATATTGTTAATGCAGCTCAATCAACGAAGTCTTTTGTGGGTCGATCATGTTGGGACAAGCTATGGCAGAAAGTTTGGAAGCTTAAACTACCAAACAAAATTAAGGTGTTTGCATGGAAGGCGTGCAATGATATTCTCCCGGTAAAGACATTGTTGCGAAGGCGTCAAATTCCTATTGATGACATGTGTTCAAGTTGTGGGATTGATCGGGAATCATTGATGCATTGTCTTTGTTATTGTGATGTTGCGGTGCAGGTGTGGAATTGAAGTACTTTGAGGAATCTGGTACAATGTGTAAAATAACTGATGTATTATTATTGATTGTATTGATAATCTTGTTGATATATACAAGATTGATGTATTGATGTTATTACAAGATGGTGAGGTACTAATTATATAGGAGAGGATTGGGGAGTAGGTGAGTGTGTGTGGTAGGTGAGTTGAGTGGAGGTGGTAGGTGATGATATATTCTAACAGCCCCCCGCAAACTCAAGGAGGATAGAAACTAACCAACTTGAGTTTGGAGAGAGTAACAAAACAAGAAAATACATAAAAATAAAAAATAAAAAAATACAGAAAAATAATAAAAAAAAAGATAGGAGACTCTGTATGGTCGTGTCAGACCGTTGGTTAAGACACTATATGGTGGTGTCATAACGTGGTAGAGGACACTGTATGGTGGTGTCATAACGTTGTAGAGGACACTGTATGGTGGTGTCATACCTAGATGATCAATAAATTATCACCTATAACTCTCATTTTTTTTAATAAAAAAACATATTACACGAACCATCACTTTTAATAGAAAAAAATAACATTTTATTTCTATTTGTTTTAGCAAAAGTCACTTTTTAGCAATTTGAGTCCAAAAAAAATAATAATAATAATAATGATAATGGTTTGGGGTTTGAGTAAGATATTATAATAAAAAGAAATATATATATATATAGATATACATATGGGGCAGTGGTGACAAAAGTGGGGTGTGGTGACTGTTCTTGAGTGGAGAGAAAATAATAAAATAAAATAAAAGAAAGAAAAGGAAAGTGGGGGTGTGGTGACTAAGTGGTCGGCAGGTGAGAATATTTGGTAAGGATTACGAAAAATAAAATATAAAAGAAAAAGGAAAGTGGGGTGGTGGATGAGTGGGTGCCCATGTGGTTTGAGCGTCAAAAAGATGCCTTCCTCTCCCTAAGTTCTTTTGGACACGCCGACTTTCGGATGCTCTCCAAGAATGAAGCATTTTCAGGATCATCCAACCTCCGCAATGGACCATCATCTACTGTGAAACCATTACTCCAGAAAATGATATAGTTCTACAGCGCCTGCTTGTCTAGCATAAGTGAAAATCGCATCCACATCATGGACTTTGGATGGATCTTGGACAAGCATTCCACTCTTTTCGCCGCCAGTGAAGGACTCCTGAGGCTCGTAATCAGAGTCACGACCAGAGCCATCCGAAGACTGGCGATTCAGATCGGAGAACGTCCGAATGCCTCCAGAACGACTCCCCGAGGGCTTCGTGTTGGGCTGCCGCGATCGGAGACTGGAGCGGTTGGGCTGCTGCGAGCGGAGCGAAGGCGGCGGAGACGGCGATCGGGAGCGAGACACAGAGGGGGACGGAGGGAGGATGGGAAGATCGGCGGCGGCGGCGGCGGTGGCGGTGCCGGTGGCAGAGGGTTCGAGGAAGGTGCAGAGGTGTGGGTCGATCATGTTGGGACAAGCTATGGCAGAAAGTTTGGCAGCTTAAACTACCAAACAAAATTAAGGTGTTTGCATGGAAGGCGTGCAATGATATTCTCCCGGTAAAGACATTGTTGCGAAGGCGTCAAATTCCTATTGATGACATGTGTTCAAGTTGTGGGATTGATCGGGAATCATTGATGCATTGTCTTTGTTATTGTGATGTTGCGGTGCAGGTGTGGAATTGAAGTACTTTGAGGAATCTGGTACAATGTGTAAAATAACTGATGTATTATTATTGATTGTATTGATAATCTTGTTGATATATACAAGATTGATGTATTGATGTTATTACAAGATGGTGAGGTACTAATTATATAGGAGAGGATTGGGGAGTAGGTGAGTGTGTGTGGTAGGTGAGTTGAGTGGAGGTGGTAGGTGATGATATATTTTAACACAATGGGCCCATAATCAGGACTTTAAATAGTGGTTTTGGCAGGTAATGTTCCATGGGGACGAGTCTAATCTCGGTTTGTTTGTTGCTCTATGTTGGGGTATTTGGCAGCAGCGCAACCAAGTAATCTCTTGTGAAACCCATGTTTCGGTTGAGGCAACGGTGGCTATGGTTTGCAATTTGGTAAGTGATTTTGGTCAAGTGCAACAAAGAATTTAAGGTCCAATGTTGCGGGATAAAGTGGTTCGTTGGAGCGCTCCAGCGAAAGGTTGGTTCAAGATTAATTTTGATGGGGCACGGTTCAAAGAAGTGAAAACAGTTGGGGTTGGTGTCGTTATTCGAAATTCGATGGGTGAAGTTGTGGCTACAATGTCAGAGCAATTACCATTCTGGGTAGATGCCGACTGTGCTGAAGCATTTGCTGCAGCCAAGGCAATTGAGCTAGCAAAATATTTGGGCTTTTCTGATATTATTCTAGAGGGGGATTCTTTAAATATTGTCAAATCTTTGCAGGAGGATGTCGAGCTCTTACCAGAATATGGTCATCTTGTGTCACAAGTGGTGGGTGCTAGTCGACTGTTTCGGAGCTTTCAAGCTTGCCATGTGGGGAGAATGGGTAATATGTTGGCGCATGGCCTAGCTCGGATGGCTAGAGATTTGGACCACCAACTTGTGTGGATGGAGGAGGTCCCGCAGGCCTTGATTGAAGTTGTTGCTACTGATGCTATTTGTAAGTGTCTTTTGTTTCTGTTTGGTTTTCCATCTAAAAAAAAAAAGTGACAAAATATTAGAGTTTTCATATTGTCAACATTTTAAATCATGCATTAGGATTGGAGATGCTCTATCTAACAGGGAATAAAGTTCTTTAACCAATCAATTTGTAACCACAAACAAAACCTAGCATTTATATTCAATTTAAACTAGAATTTATATACAGAACATAGCAAAACATTTTTCTTTTCAGTCAAAACAGTCGCTCAAGTTTGTTATACATTGTGCATGCTACGGTACTCTTCAGTTAATTTCATATCCAAACCAGACTATTTTATCGGCTTCATGTTATACGATGTGTGTGATGCTCCTGATCAAAACGACTATGATCCGAAAGTTAGGATGTTAATGCAGAACCTGTCATAAACTGCCAGCGTATCAGATCAGAGATCTGCGGTTGGGATGACTCATATGGTTGGCAACATGACTATCTACGGTTATGTGGATTGCACATGAGATGTGAATGGTTAGGATAGCACCACATGCTTGTTAGGCGCTACTGATTCAATACCGTGTTCTTGTTTAGGCAAATGGGCTGGTTGGATTGCTACTCCTACTTGTAACATGCAGTTTAACATGGACCCAGTTCATGATGATTGGATCAATCCACCAGAAATTGGCACGAATGTGGCGACTGCCACAGCGTTGGTGACTGAGCCATCAGCTCTGGTGGATGATGGTGGTTTAGAATCTTCTGCTGGTGACAGAGGAGATGGTAATAAAGAGAGAAAAGTATCATATTGGTTGTTGCGGTGGTCGTGACATTTATTCTGGTAGTTGGGGTCATCTTGGGGGTTAGATGAAGGAGGAAGAGAGCAGACAAAATGGAGAAGATGAAGATGATGATGATGATGGAAGAGGAGGACAAAGGGTCCAGATCCTTCTCGTATGATTTAGATATGTTGGTAGCTACAACTGATAATTTCTCCTCTGCAAATCGTCTTCTGTCCATTTCAGAGTGCCAACCAGGATTAAACTTGTATGATCTGATTGATAGATTATAACATTTGACAGGCTAAAACTTATTATAATTCAATTACCTGCATCATTGCTATGAGCATCACAAGGAACGCATACAAGCCAATTCCACCAGTATACACCAGTATATTTTTAGGACTCTAAAATTAGGCAAATCTAAAGGAAAAGTTTATAGGAAAACTAATCAGAACAAGTAAATGAATCACCTCATTTAACTCTCTCTGTTGCAGAAAAATTTTCAAGATGAAATACAATGGCTGTAATGGGGGGCACTTAGATATGGCATCCTGAAAGAGAATCACATGTATATTACAAATTGCAAGAACCATATAGAAAGAACTCAGGGATATCCAACATAAGTGAGAACTTTACTGTATATGTGAGAAACTTATAAACTATATGTGCATAGATATACATATGTCTACGTATATTACCTGTTTGAAACATATTTAAGGAGCCTCTTCATTCCAAAACTTATCACAATAAGTGAAATATAAATAGCTTATATTCACGAAAAGCACATAAAATGACATAACTAGTTACCTGATTGCTTTTCTTTGTTGCCCATGCCCATATATGAAGAATTCTAGTGTGCTACCTAACCTATTGGCGCAAAATACCAAGATAGGACTAAAATACATTAGGTTGTTATTCATTGAAGAAGTGGTACTTGAATGGATTTTGCACTCTTTCTGGAAGAACCGATCAGGTTTAGAAGGATCAATCTCTAGCTCCACTACAATCAAAATTCCTGGAAAGTCTCTGCTACAATTGCAAATAAAAGAATGGAAATGTGAGAAGCATAATTCCAGCTAGAAGTAGTACCGGAAAAATTAAAATTACAAACATAATTAAAAATTCAAATCAACAACAAAAATTTTAGTTTACCTTTGCCAACCAAAAACAGAAACACAAAATTAACTAAACAAAATCAATCAATATGCAGGTTGTATACACACACACACACACACATATATATACATATATGTTTTTTAAGCATATATATGTTTACCATTTTATCAGTGGATTTAGCAGAGCACGTCATGACAAGCATGTCAAGCTGGTTTGTTCAAATTTCACTATAGGTATGGATCATAAATATTATACTGATATAACCGAGAAATAAATTAGATGAGATAAAATGAAATGATATCAAGATTAATAGTAAACATATCAAAGGAGTTAAATTTTCTTACCATCCAAATCAAGTACTAGGGTAGTGGATTTCATTCTCTGATGTGAACATGGATATGCTTTACATATACAAAAGATATTTCAAAATATAAAAATTTTAGTTCAGTTTTTGAAGAACTAGTCACCTTGTTTGGTTTAGACCGATTTTCTGAAAATTGAGATTTTTAAAAGATAGCATAAGCTGATGCCCTATTCTAGTCATTAGAGCAGAAGAATTGATCAATATAATGTAACAATATCATTCTCGTAAGAAGTTGCCACAACAACTATAGTCACCAAAAGCCCAAGAACCAGAAAAACGAACAAAAACCCAATGAACCTTCAACATTGTGATCACATTTTTTTAGAAAATCACCAATCCATCATCCAAGTTTCAAAGATCAAAACACAAAATCAATGACTCCATTTGTTAATGAAGAATTAATTGCTTTCACCAACCAAGCCACACAAACCTTAAACAAGACAATGACATCCACCTAATTTCCTATTCAAAATTATCTTTGTTTCTAATTAGCAAACATCAAAGAAACATAAAAGAGTACCAAATTTGATTTTTCACATTCTTATACCACAATACAAACCACCAAGCAACAAAAAAATCCAACCAAAATTTTAATTTAATTGATTATTCTTGAATTTTTGCCTAAATTGACCCAAAAAAATTCATTCACCTGGGTCCTCATTAATTATTCTCCAATCTTTATATTTGCGAGTATCGTATTTCAATATTCTATTTGAGAGAAATAATCCATAGCATAACAATACTCGGAACTAAACAACAACTTTAGCCAAGTTAGCCATTGCATAGTTCAATTTCAAAGGGCTGTTGTAACATTAACTATGTTGAACTCTAACAAAGAATTAGAATTTTGCTACAAGCCCTCTAAAACCCAAGTGAAATGTTCCCTAAAGAGAACCTCATAAATTATGCATAAGAAGCATAATTAAAAAATAATTATCAACACTGACTTCCAGTTCAACTCATGGCATTATACAAAAAGCAATTCCTACATATTTGCAGAGCTCAATTCAAAAAGCAATTTAAAGGAACTCAAGTACAAGTTGGATTGGGATCAACAATAAGTAGAGAACTCACATCAAATGAATAGGAGAAGCAGAATATAGGTTGTCCAAAACACAAAGTTCCAGCAACAAGAAGTTCCATTTGTATGATTTGACAAAGCAAGAAATTTTAAAATACAAGTTTCGACAATTTTGTACCTTTCCATATGCCTTCTCAAATGCTGCTATCATTTCCAAAATTGACGTTCCTTTTTAATTGCAGCAGACCACACACTACAAGAGGATGAGAACACGAGTTCATATGTCAAAAACCTAATGAACAAATGATTTCAAATTTAACAAATAAATTCTAATAACATTGAAATTGTGCCTATATGATAACCATGAGTCATTGGAAATCATGAAAAACCACCAAGAAAACAAATAATACAACTTAAAAAAGGATTTTGCTAAGTCTAACCTTCAGTACAAATAGTTTCATTCACATCATTAATAGAGACAATTCCCTAGATACATCATACATTACTAAGAAGAGTCGCATACATAAATGATAAGCATAGATATTTACATCAATAGATTCTCTAGATATATATATCTATGAAAGTGTATT